ACTAGTAGTATTAACAATTTCTTAGAGATAAATAATTGTTTCACTAACCCCTCGGAAAGTTATCATTTTTGAAGAGTTAATGTTACCAGGTACTGAGAGTCAGGAGGACCCAGGACCCTGAGCCCTCCTCAACAAAAGATATATAGGCCTACTCTCACTACATACGTGTCAATAAGGCCATACAATAGTATACCATCGCATATGTTTCGGATAGATTTAATTCATCTTAAAATAATAATAATAAAAATAGCCTAATAGTCCACTCCAAATTTTATTAAACCGAAACGGAAATTCTTTTTGCCCAATTGATCGTGAGCCCGGCAGCCACTGAACAGCACCAGATCGACGTTGCTCTATCCCTCATTGTTGAACGCCAAACAAGGTAGCGACATCTCTCATCTTTTAACGTCTTTTGGTATGACGCGGCCGGGGTTCGAACCCACGACCTCCCGGTTGTGAGGCGGACGCTCTACTGACTGAGCCAACACTCCAGTAACAAGTTTTACATGTGATACCAGTACACCAATATTTGAAAAGGTTATAGGCCTAAATACAATATTTGAACATATTTGAAATCATATATCACAGCTCTGACAGGTACAGTTGCATTTGTAACAGAGACTGATCAGAAGTATGCATTCATATATAATTTTCAAAATACATCAAAATCATCTGGCCTACATGTACATAAAACGTTCATGCATGAAAATATGTTTCTGTCGCTTGGGGCTCAGTTCAAAATTGATTTCAACTGTTGTCTACTACAGTATAATCAGTCAATTCAGTCAGGCATAATTGTCAGTTCCCCTCCCTTGAAATCAGGATCACATTTCATGTTATTGTGATTGTGTCGTTTAGTCACATGAGGAAACTCGGATCAATTTAACCCAACTCACTTCCTAAATCCATTTCGGTTTGAATGCTTTAATGAGAGACGATGACAGCGTGTTGCAAAATGTTTCCTACGCAATGAGCCTCTGACATGAGTATGCTTTGAATAGCTCCCTCGATAGTTCATGAGGTGCTGAGCCTTGCCTCTTTTTTTGTTGTTCAGAAATAGACATATAACAAGGGTACGTATATATGTTTTGTACCTGAACAGTATCGAAACACCACATGTAACTACATTTTTCATTTGCTTTACCTGTAGTCCACCCTGATATATTTTTTTAAAATGATTTTTTTAGTGGTGGTTATTTCACCCGACTGTAAAGAAAGCATAAATGCATGTTAGTAAGCAATCAGAGGACGGACGGCTTTCAGTCCTCTCTGAGGGATATTAAAGGGAAACCCAGCCTTGATAGCAAACTACTCTAGTGGAAATCTGAATACCAGAGGAGCATACCTACTGGTAAAAGCTCTGTCACCATTGAAACACAAGGGGAAAGGAAAAAATCAAATTGATGGACAATGAATAGATATTATCTGTTGCCAGCCAAAAGGATGTTAACTCTTATATATATTAAAGACAGAGCTAATGCTCTTCTTGCTCTAAACACAAAATATACATGTCTTTATTCCTCTAGTACTTGGTTTTAAAGCACTTGTGAGTTTATATTTATTCATAAATATAATGCTCTGTGTTTATCAAATGTAGGCCTATACTTTTTTTGAACTATGAACAGTTTCAGTAACAATATTACTAACCTTTTTACTTGATTTTTCTATAGCAAATGTACAATATTCCATGTCAATAAAGTCTCCTACATTTAAACTAAAAACAATGTTTAGCTATAAGTACAGTGTTACTGAGAACTTTCTCATAATATAATATATCAACTACTTTTGAAACCAAAACACATTTTAGTTAAATTACTTCTCAGAACTTTGTATAGCAGTATACATGTACATCTAAGGAAGATGTTAAAGAAGTGGCATAACCAAAGGGGCACAAAGCCAAAAAAAAAGTAAAGATAAAAAAGGAGAGAAATGAGAAAGAGAGAGAGAGAGAGAGATAAAGAAGGAATAGCGAGTAGTAAGATGTGAAATGAAGATGATTGTACGCCTCATTCCCTCACTCAATCAATGTCTGCTTTCTCTCGCATTTAACCCAAGTAAGAACTGAGCCCCTCCCCCTTGCCAATCAACATCAGTGTTCCTAAGAAATGATTGGGTACTGCACTAGCTAAATCACTGTGCAGAACTAACAGATTTTTTTTTGTTTTGTCTCTTTTTCAAAAACATTTTCAACTCGATATTTTCACACATACAGAAATTAAATCGAGAATACAGCAATTCAAAATTCAGCTGAAATATCCTTCAATGTCTTAGTTATCACAAGGCCCTAGTTTTATATCAGAAGTTTAAGCTCTTAATGATACATTTTTACAAAGGAAAATATCAAAGAATGTGAGATTTGGACTAACGTCAATTTCGAACAGGCGCCTACCTTTACTTTCATTCTCTCCATAAAGACAGGGGCAGCTAGCCAGATTCGCGGGTGAACGGATCACGGGCCCGCCTGCGGGGTTTACGTCCGAAGAAAGGCTTCGAAGTTCGAGCAGCTAGTGGTAGCAAAAGTCATCCTTTCTCGCTTGACTCGCTGGAAAATCCCGTTGAGCGCAAAGACCTTTTATAGTGTCTTGGTGGAAAGCCTTCACTTTCTCAAGAAAAATCATTGAAAATTGGAGTAAGATACGTAAAACTCGAACTGTATCACCTGTTAGAACTCTAACACTAACAGGAAAATCCAGGTTCTATTTCGTTGTAACATACATCGGCAAATCCACCTGCACACCCACATAAACAAGACATACATGTGTCCCGTATGTTTGGGAATTACGAAATACAAGTAAAACGTACCAAGAGCCCCCCCCCCCCCCCCCCCCCCCCCAACGCAATTCTCTCTTCTCTTCTCACTTCTTGGAAAATCTCTCTTTATCTTAATAATGCAAATGTTTCTTGAACTCCAAGAAATTTCCGAACGTCCACGAATCTCCTTCCATCCCTCCCTCTCAAAGTTTCCCTTTCACCCTATCACATTCTTGATATACCCTTCTCTCCTTCCATCAATATCCTTCTGTCTTTATATTCCTCTTCTCTCCATCTCTGAGCTCAACTTCTTTGCCTCTGTCTGCAATACATTAGCTTCAATTTTATTTTCTGTCTATGGATGGTTTCTTTCTAGTTTTCTCGCTCCCCCACCCCCTCTCTGATCTCTCTCGCTCTCTTCCTACTTTCTCTTTTTAATATTGTCTGTTTGTCCCATCTCTCTCTCTCTCTCTCTCTCTCTTTATTTCTCCTTTAAAAAATCTTTCTCCTGCTCTCTTCTCTCTTTCTTTCTCTCTCCCCTTGTCATTCTGTACTTAATTATCTACATGTCTAATCTGTATTATCTCAATCTCTTTCATTTCTCTGCCTTTGCCAACTTAATAAAAAATAATCAACAAAACACAAATAAAAATCACAAACTCCAGCCAGGATACATGTAAATTATAATGTAATGTTCAATAATTATACATGAGGGGGGCTAGGTGATGCCAACACAGAGCACAAATAATATTTACAAACTGAAAAATATAGGCATGATGAAATGAAATTTTAAGATAACAAAATACAGAAGAAAGAGAAAAAGTCACATTAAAAAAGAGACAGAACTGTGGCATCTGCCTAAAAACCTTAAAATATTCTTTACAGACAAGTTATATAAACTCAGGTTGTTTCTTCTCATGGAAACACATCGTAAAAAAACAAGTAATAAGGAAAGTATGGTATGCAGGAATGTACTAATGTTAAAACAAACATGAGAAAAATTTGATTTTCTTGATTGGATATGCTAGCTAAGAATGTCTATGGGTAATTGGTACATTTAATTATTTGATCAACCCTTATTGATAACGAAGGGCAATGAAGATATTTCTCTATGGATGAGCATTATGACTGAAAGATTTATACCTTATGTTTGGGAGAATCGAAAAGTCCTTACAAGCAAAATTATAAGACCCCTAAATAAATATATCAGGTTTAGTCTGAATGAATACATCACAAATAAGTCACACCAGTGCTGCACTCAAATAAACCATAATAGGTTTTTTAGCAAGTTTAAAATCATTCCCCTTCCCTTTTAAAAAAGCATGAATAAAGTGAATGTTAAAATGGAAGTTGAATACATAATTAATGAGCACCCCTATCAATAAACAATAAATATAACTTTGGATTTAAGCAGATAATACATATAGATAAAAATACAACCACAGAGTACAAACATGTACTTAAAATTAGGGAACAAGATAAAAATACTGCTTCTTAAAACTGATAAAAAAGAATGAAAAAATACTGTGAACCCAGCACCTAATTATCAATTTTGTCCGTTTCCCAATTTGTTACAACACCTAAATTTACATTTGACTACCAAATACATGTAGTACAGTCATACCAGCGACCAACCCAAGCTATATCATACTTTAAAGGCCCACTGCACTACTTGTAGCTACTTGCGCCCTCTATATAACAAACAATGCCTAATTGGTGACCAGTAGTCCCCCATGATCCTCTTTTTCTTATGTTAACTGAGAGCTGATTTGATGAGATAACCACCTGTCCAGTGACCTTGCAGGGCAGTCTAATCCCTCCTGTAAACTACGGCAGATAAGCTTTAATACTAATAGTGGAAATTAATGTAAAATGGATTTGGCTAGTAAATTACATAAGCATTTACTTGTATATGTTACCAAGAAGGTGACTGTAAATTCTATCAAAATATATTCTGCAATGAAATACTTTATGAGTTTGTATTTGTGAAGAAGAAAGTCTTTGTGAATGATTCTAAAATGGCAAGAAGTACAGTAGGATAAAAATGAAAATTGTGCACATCTTTGTTCTTAGATATTACATGTAATTGTATAACTTTACATGGTAAAATGAAATATAATCTACTTTAATTCTGATAATAAATCTATAGTCACCCTTAAAAACCTTTTTAGAAAAGACATTGAAATGACATCACTGTTTTCAAGATCAGTTATTTCAAGTTTTTAACATGAAAATTCCCTTGTGTGTGCTACCAATGAATGGCTAATACATAGGCTTTGGCCAATAACATCAAAATACTGTTTAAAAGGGACAGTTAAAACGTGGTTATCTAATATTGTTCTCACAATTATTCAACTATGCATCTATTAAAGCTTTTGCAATGTTTTTTTCAAAACAAGAGTAGAATCTAATTCCCACAGGTTATTTTTTTCGCCACAAATCTAATTTAGAAACCTTCTCACCCGATAGCTAACCTTAAAATTTAATGCGAGCTAGTTATGCTTTCACTACAAACCAGATTACTGACTCTTTAACTCAAGTATCTCTTTTAAACCTTACTCCTACCCTAAGGATATGGCATATGGTTTATACCGGCAGATGGTTTTCAAACAGAAATACAGAGAACTACATTATTTTACACAGATCATTTTGCTATCGATGAGTTTTCACATTTGTCATGATCGTTCCACAAATCCTAGTCTACCAAAACACAAACAACTTTGTATAAATAAGTAGCACTGCATTTGGAAGTTTCTCTGCTTCAGAAAACAAACTCTTCCTCCCAAATAATGCTGCTCTATCTGCAAATCAGGGTAAAAACTAATACACCTCAAATATTTGATAATCAATTTCATCTGTATAGTAAGTAAACAATACTCTACAGAATGGAATTAATAATTGTTGTTCATTTATCTACAATTGTTGACAAGATGCTCATTTGATCCAAATTAAGTCAGGTTTGCAAAATTTGATGTTTATGAACTTTTTATTTCAAATCTTCATGATTTTCTTCCATGAATTTTAGTAGATTATGTGGAAAAAAGAATTATGTATTAATCAATCATCTTATTCGTACATATGTTTCAAAAGCTTTCACCCACTTGCTTTGGAAACAAAACTAGGTTAAGTAGATGCTTAAGTAGGAATCCACATAATTAAATTATTATGAATACAGGTTTACTTGTTCCCAAATCCATGCAAAGAAGAAAGTCATCACAAAAAAGGGGGAAAAGAGCACGGAATATGTGGGAATACACATGGAATACATATACTTTGAGCACAGATTTCGGATAGAAGAAAGTCTAGGCAGCTCCATGTTTAAATACCCAATAGTACTTTCTGGAATACATGCACAATATATTTTCATAAGAGAATTATAAGGGGAATACAAAGATCGAACAAGAAGGGGAAGGGGTAATTTTACAAGGGGGTTGAATAACAACGCTTTCATTATTAATATCAAAATTCATTATAGAAATGTACATCCCGATTTGCAAAAAATACATGTGAATGAAAAAATTCCTTTTAAATACTCTTTGTTAAATGTTGATAGTATACACAAATGTACAGGTGTAAATAACATATACATGACAATGATTATGACAATAACATTTGTTCATATCAATAGGATATTTGAATACATTGGAATCGCAGGAAAGCATTTATGATTAAGTATCAAATGATTTTTTTCGAGATAGATAAATGAAGAAAGCATATTTCATTTTGCAGTAAAAGGCAAATTCTCTTTCAAAGATACCATGAAAGGCATGAATGATAATAAAATTGTTGTTTCTATATATTCAAGACATTAATTTGCTTTTACAAATGCATTGAATTAAAACAATCATCACCGTTATGCTGTGATTAAAATGGAGGAGGCAGTACGGAACGCAGATAACAGGCCCAATGTTAGGTCCACACATTGTCAACTCAATTGTGATAGAGTTGGGTTATAAAAGTTTCTGAATCAAAATAAAAAACAAAACTTCTTCACAGATGGATAATTCTGAAATGAAGATTGAAAATATGAAACTTTGGCTTCTGATTCATTTATCATTTGTTTATAATGCACAAAGTTCTACAACTGACCAACATGTCTGTTTCAAAGACAAGGCTTTCATCAAATACAGGCGAAAACAGACAAATTCTGCATTCTACTCGCACAAAATTGTCTGAGAAAAGATTTCTCAAAACCAAGAGTAGGATATAGTTGAACCTGTACAGATATTACAGAAAACTGGGCGACACCATCAAAATATTGAAAGAGGGTCATTACAAAAATATCTTTGCTGAATCAATTATATTTTTTCCTTTAGTTACACCATACTTGCCACATGATATATTTCATTTTGTTGTTGTTGTAATTCAAGACACAAGTGGCACACCAAAAGAGAGAGAGAAAAAAAGTTTGGCTTGTGAAAGCTTCAGTCAGTTCATAAAAATGACAAACTGTGTCAAAAGTTCACAAACTGTGTAAATGTATAAGTTATGTCTTTCAACAAAGAAACAATTTTCATTTTGGAGAATCATGTATAAAAGTATATTGATTCATTTATACAAGACAAGTTTGGCATTTATTTGTGTACAGTGCTGGTAAAATTTCAATTAAAAGTATAAAAAGAGAAAATAGTTTTAAAACAACGATAAAAGACAACATTGTTGAGATGTAAAAATGTTGAGTACTCTTATTGATCTTGAATCTACCTTATCTTGAAAACACAATATAATAAATAGCTTTCTGTTAAGTAGAGAATGCGATTGTTCTTTTATGATTAAGAAGAGAAATATCTTCTGGTTCCATCAAAGTTGATCCTTTATAGTCGGCTTGTTTATTTAACAAATTGATCTTTTGCAATTTTGGTTACATGTAATCTTTATTGAATTGTCATGAATATAAGATTACCTCATGCCAGACTGCCATGGTATTCATAACCAGTGACTGCAAAGCCATTAGAGTTTGAACTGCACCAAGTTCATACATTCATCGAGCAGAGGCAATGTGAACATGCTCTCTATGTAGTCTGGCAAATAAAGAATCAACTCTATATAGTTTCATAGGGAGTGGTATAAAACCCCTCTGCCATCTGCAATGTCAATGCGTCCAGTGATGATGATTCAAAGATTATCCATGGTGACTTTTGACCGATGGCGTTACATCCACATCTTTCGCTTTGGATTCCTCACAGGCATGTTCTGGACGCAAGGGATTGACCGAAACTACCGGAGAGAGGTCTTCCACTTTAAATAAACACAGCGCCATCATAGTTCGGTCGTGAGCGTGCAACGCTTCGTTGATGTCGTCACGGTGCCACCTGGCGAGGTGGAATGGAAGCCGGCCCCCATTGCGTTCGTGGGGCTGTTCACAGGTTGCCATGACGATGTGCTGACGTTCATACCGACCCCCGACCCGTTGGTGACTGGCGATGCAGTCACGGATGCGTTGTTACTGCTCGTCGACGTAGAGGATTTGCGAGAGAGACCGGAGATCTTCCGGACAACGTTGCTAGATCCGTTCACAGGTTTAGATTGTTTTTCCAGTTGCTACAGAGGGTAGGACAGCAATAAAGAAGTTATTTAAAGAACATTTCAGAGTAAATGCTTATTGTAAAATCAACATTCTCTGCAATACGGTTTGCACTCCAGATGCACAACATTTGAAATACAAAATGAGGAATTTACAAATGCATTCAATCAAACAGTTGACAGCATTATGAAATGTGCTGACTTGGACTGCCTGCCTGACTATTACACTCAATAGATGCCAACAAACAATAAGCCATTTTTGTAATGTAATCAAAATTGAATGCAAAAATCTTTTGTTCATTCACCTATTACAAATAATTGTACTTCAATAGTCAAAATGTGAATTGCATAAATTGTATGTTGATGGGTAGGACAAGCCATCATGCTCGTCATACCTAGCAACAATTAATGTATGCAATTGGTATTCTGACTTTTGAAATACAATTATCTGTCACAGGTGAATGAAATAATTTGCAACATGGCACTTAACAAAGATTTAAGCATTAAATTTGATTACATCACAAAAAATGGTCTGTTGATCGGTCTGAGAAAAGAATGAGAGTCTGGGAATCAGTGCAAAAACTTTCTTTTCTTTCAACAAGCTCCAGTGCATTCTAGAAGCATGGGCCTTCAGTTCAAATTTGAAGTCAAACATTTGTGATGTTCAAAGGTCATATGAACATATGCTCCATCATTTGAAAATGTAAATGAAAGGAGGCAATCTAAAGACCATGCACTTGTAAATTCCTTCATTAGGCCACAGTCACACAGTGGCAATCTCTTTTAGCAAACTACCATGTTTTTGTACGTCGTTTTACTAAATTTTCTCTTTGCTTTAGCAGCAAGAATAAAGACTTCTTGGTGAAAAAATAAAAGTTCAGACAGTCTGAATCATTTCTGAATCATATTTGGATCAATTTTTGTTGGGTATATTCTTGTTCGGATAAAAATTTCTAACAGATTTTCCATATTGTCTGAATTTGCAGAGGCACTACAATAAACTTTGAAAAAGTCCTGAATGTCATGCCTTCTCGAACTTAGACAATTGCCAGATAGTTGCTAGTGTGGTTCATGAACATAGAAAGAGATACCATATTGCAAATGCATTACCTTAGAGCATAGTTTCCTTACAAAAAAGATTGCCAGTGGTACTGAGTCTTTTTGCTCATTCCTTCCATGCTTCATTTGTGGCATGCCACAAGATGCAACAAAATAAAATCAGCTTCTTGGTGAACAAGAAATTAAGTCTCTATTTCCTAACAATCAAACTTCTAATGGTTATGAAGGAAAAAAGGTCAGAAAAAAAGGTCAGAAAATAAGTATTCTTGAAGGTTGAAAGATAATTTTTGAAAGAAAACTAAGCAAGACAGATTAAAGTGGAAAGGGGGAAATATCTGTATATGATCAGGAAAAACAAAAAAAGGAGACAGAGGGAGATATATAAACTGATAATAGAAAAAAGTGCAGGGGAGAAAGAGAAAAACATAATAAAGATATAAGCTACAATATCTAATTTTTTAATTCTAAAATACTATTAAGTGACTAAAAGGAGAAAATCATAATTAGAAACTCAAACATATATGTATCTACATGTATGAACCATTTTTATCTTTGAATACTTGTGATCTAATGTTAATTGAGTTAAGACACTAATGAATTGAATTTGTTATTATGTACAGAATATAGATGATCTAATTAATAATTAATTTTAGTTCATGAGTAATGTTATTATAACTGTATTAAAACAGAACAACATGCACATAACATATACAATGCACAGCATTAATTACCACAGGAATGGTTTTATGGACTAGCAAATAGATAGTAATGGGGGGGGGGGGGAGTGGTAGGGGGGGAGTGGTAGGTTGGGGATCAGGAAATGGTGGTAGTGGTAGTGGTGGTGGTGGTAGTGGTGGTGCGGGTGGTGGTGGTGGTGTTGGTGGTGGGGGGGGGGGGGTGGTGGTGGTGGTGGGGGGTTGGTGGAAGGGAGAGTGGGTGTTGGTTGTGAAATGAGGGGGAAGGGGGAAAGTCATCAGTGGTGGAGCCAGAGGAGAAAGATTTTTAGCAAGGAGACAATAATGGAATGAGGAGAGGGTCTTTTAGAGGGATAAGGAATGATGGGGAAGGGGTAGGGAGAGGGGTGGGGACTGTTGGAAGTAGATTGAAGGGAGAAAATGTGATGGTGGTAAGAGAAAGGAGGGGGAACTTTTGTTGGTAAGTATGAGGGAGAGGTTGATAGTGAATTGAGTGTTGAGAATAATGGAATGAGAGGGTATTTTGGAGGGATAGGGAATGGTGGTAGTGGGGTGGGGGTGGAAGAAGGGGGGGGGGGTGGGGACTGTTTGAAGTAGGTAGAGGGAAGAAGATGCGATGGTCGCAAGAGAAAGAAGGGGGAACCTTTGTTGGTAGTACAAGGGAGAGGTTGATAGTGGATTGAGTTCTGAGGGAGGAGGAGGGAAATCATTATGGTAGGGGTGGGGAAGGGGGAAACCTTGGTGGTAGGATTCAGAGAGCAGTTTGGGGTAAGCTAAACGAGAGAAATCATGGGTGGAGGGGAGACATTGTGGTAGGGGGGGGGGGAAGGGGTAAACCTTGGTGGTAGGTGAGAAGAGAGAGATCATGGGTGATGGGGTCGGATGGGTAATGTGGAGGGATAACACAAGTTCATAAAACCATTCCCCTGGTCTGATCGAGAGTTAGTCTGTCAAAGAACCTACTTCCAGTTTACTGGCTGGACTACTAGCACAAGCTGATGTTACTGATGGTGTAGACTGCGAGATTGGAGAAAAACAACAACTTGATAAATGAGGTGAAATGGAATAAATATGGGTCAAAATGAATCAGTTACATGGTATTATAATATTATAATGGTATTAGAGAACAAGAATTTTTGGTAAAGGTAACAAGAATCAAGAAATGCATTTTAGTTGTACATTATTCATGTCTTTTGAAATTAATCTTAAAGGTAAAGATCAGTTCTGGTCATGCGATTGCATTTTGAAAGAAACGTTGTGGAATCGATCAGAAAAGGTTGACCCTCTAGCATTTAAGTATTGGTGTGTACTGCAAGGTTCTGGAATCATCAAAATGATAAGAAATTTGGCCCAGTCTTGGTAAAGTTACAAGCACTGTACACAGAAAGATGTATATGGGACTACGCGAAACGTGTGTGACACGTGCATGATATCTATCAGGTCCAAAGAGATATAATAATTTACCAAATACATCAATTAGTAGGCGGTTTCCTGTGAAAATATGTACATCATCACGTATTAGTCAAAAAAAATTCTTTCACATGATTGGTAATAAGAGCTTCCATTTCATTTTTTGGGAGGGGGCGTTTCCAAAACTGGTCTTTACCTTTAAATAATATCTCATGGCTTACATATACAGACTTATATATATATATATATATATATATATATATATATACACATATAGATATTTCAATATGAAATGCTACTTGTGGCAAAATAAAAGAAGTGGAACTGTTTACATATACATGTATCATGATATGTACATGATTTCTAAGGAATAAAGAATTAAACCATTGTAAATGAACTGGGCTAAGTTACAATTGCCTCAAATGAAATTGTATCATTTGATGTATACTAAAAGAACAGTTCTTTTAAAATAGTTCAGAAGATTTTGGAAAGCTGTCACCTTTTACTTTTCAGAAAGAACATATAGCAGGTTGACTTAACTTTGCAGAAGTATTAAACTCTGATTAACTTTGCATTTAAAAATGGAATCTTCTTTTGTGTTAAACCCTTAGAGACATCCCTTTGAAGTGGGTTGTGGTAATACATAATTCACAAACATACGATACAGCAAGAGATTTATTATAAATAGAAATGATCTCGTCGTGTTTACATATACATGTATTACTAGTGCTTAAAGTAAGAGTAGAGAAAAAGTGGAGAAAAGGAGAAGAAATTGTATTTAGATGTATGAGCATTCCAGGTAATAAAACTGTATTAGAATAGTCATAGATTTCCACCAAAATGTAGAACAAAGCATCGAACAGAAAACACCAGATGACAAATTTAGTAAACAATGATAATTTGTATTGTAAACACTAATTAAGTTAGGACTATCATGTAGCAAGAACTATAAAAGTCTGCTGTAAAACCAGAAACTTGTGCCACATGAAAACTTTCACAAATTGTAAAAGACAGTGATTTTCATGGCAGAAATCTTTCACAAATTGTAAAAGACAGTGATTTTCATTGCAGAAAACTATTATGAATTGTAAAAAGACAGTGATTTTTAAAGCAGGGTCAGTTATGGTTCAATTATTTGTGAGATTAAGCTCTCGTGGCAAGAAGCTGAACCCCGTAACAAATTTGAGATCCTCTCATGCGAGCGAAAGTTTCTGGTTCTCACAGTAGTACGGTAAGCAGGTTTATACTGACAAGTTTCAACGAACAACAAAATAAAACTATGAAGAACTAAGGGTGAATATGAAACAAGGAATAATAGGATGACATGGGTAACTATGAAATGGAAGAAAAACAATGAAAAGAAAGCATGCATGCACCACTTTCCCGGAAGAAGGCTGTTAGATTCATCCATCTTTCCGTCTTTCATGACAGAATATTGATGAAGATGATTTTATATTTAAATTTTAAATTTATTGATTTCAAGCTGTATAGAGCCTAATGTGCATTTCAATTGTCAAATTCAGCAATTTGTCACTGGTTCTATATACTTGCCACAAGCATATTTGGCATGTAAAGATAACTTTATCTGAAAAATGTGCAGTTCCAAATATCATGGCATATAGGTGGACTTGGTGTTTAAACATGATTTCATTTAGTTCAACGACTTATGGAGTGACAAGTGTCAAGCTATAAAATAAACACAACAAATGACTATCATTCTTCAATGAAATAAATATAAACAAATGAATTCAGTTATGAAATGAAAAAGAGACATGGATATCATGTTGATATGATTTTGTTTTTGGCTCTATTTAGTTCTAGAATTATGGTAGTTTGACACTTGGCATCCTATTGATAAGTGGACTCAACACTGCACATTTAATCCGGGTCTAAGGCTGAACCAAAGTTGGAGCGCTTTTATGAATGCCCGCCAAAGAGTCAAAGAAGATTTGAGATATAAATATGGGAATGAATCTAAGAGCCTTCATGCAGGAAAGCGTGACATCATGAAGGGGGAGGGGGGGGGGGGGTAATATCACATACCACTAAGGAAGCACCACCAATACCAACGACCCCTTCACCATACGCTCCGGAAACATTCAAATCAGAGGGTTCTTCAACACTGCCCGCTATGGGCAGGCCACATGCAGACGTAGCAACAGCAGGAGCAGCTGGAGAAGCTCCTTCGCCTACCCCCGCACCGGCGGCCATCTTGGATTTCCCACACTGCATCAGGGCAGCCTCGTGGTTACTGACTTTGGGCGAGGTCGGAGAAGGGAGGTCGCTCGTGGGGGTTGTTGGGGTGAGGCCGGACTATATGGGTATATATACATATATATTGGATGTGACACAAATGTATGATGGGTAGCAAATATATATGTACTTGTATCTGAGTGTTGTGATGTGAGGTACAAATCCTATGCTGACTCTTTAAAAATTGCATTGTCTTTGCTTGGCATATTTTGGTTATTTGGTAACATTGGAATGCTGGACATAAAAATGCATCAAACTATGAATGAATATAACATTTTGAATAACTTGAATAATCTGCACTCACAAAAGATCAGCCAATGTTTTTTCTTTTCCTTTTTGATAGTTTTGAATAACCTCATTTTCTTTTTGAAGCGGTTAGATGGTTAAAAGTTCAATTTTCCCATACAATGTGGCGCCTTTCTGCATATAAGATGAACAGAAGTATTGTTCATGACTTGAACATGTGCTCAGGATTACATGCTTACTAATAAAAGCAATCCTTTTTAAAATGAATATAATTCGAATAGGAGAACACGCTTTCTTCATAAATTTAACAGGCCTTATCTCTCGATTCATATTCATCTACTGTATGTTCCACATGCATAATTAAGAGTCAGCATAGAAATTGTATCAACAAATGATCAAAATGTGACACAAAAAACAAATAACAACCTCTATTGAAATGGGTCTCACTACAGAACTGGCTACGCAAAATATAAAATGTCGCTACTTTAATTTTTGGGGTCTGAAATGGGATGGAATTGAACTCTACCATGGTAAAGGAACTACTATTGTCTACTTTCTATTTTAAAGCATGTTTTATAACTTTTATTCCTCCTTTTGAACTGCTTTATATTTCATTCTTCTGCGCAAATAAAGAAATGCAATTTGACGTAATTTGGAAGGGAAAGACATGCAATCGTTTTGTCAAAATTTACATCACTTTTTGACAACCACTACACCACAAAAGAATGCATTTTCAAACAAAAAAAGACATAAATTTGCTTTTATCCTCGATCATGTTTGACCTAAGTAGCCGAATAAGCACAATTACAATATTAGAACAAAATACAAACACCTGACTATCTGAGACAATATTAAAACTTTCAGATAAAAATGTACACATTTAAAAAGATTTATTTTCGTAATATAATATCATGAGAAAAATAAAACCAAATAGAGCAATTTTTTTTTGTTTCATGCATTCGTTTTTGTTTTGTGTTCTTCATAGAAATAGTTCTTTTCACAATAAAAACAGTCTTCAATATAGAACATTGATTTTGTGCCGGACTTTTTATAAACCAGGATAACTTGAACCACAAACCAATCAATAGATACTTACATATATATAATAGTTTCGACATGAAAACTATATATGGTGAAAAATGATCCGTTTGCAAAGGAAAAAGGAACTAATGATTACTTTTTTATATAAATTGCTATAAATATTTAATGCATGCATGTTGTCAGCATGGAAAAATATCAAGCTTATTCTTAAATGAGAGAGATATATATTTTTTTGTGAAGAAGGGATAATAAGATTGTAGTACCAGAGCAGATAAAACTAAATCCTTTTATATTATTGCCCCCAGGATTAATTCATGTGGAACAAAATTGACAAAGTGCTTCTATGAAACATAAGCATTTGATGTGATATATCTCAAAGAGTTAATAGGTTATGATAATATTTTTGGGGTGAATATCTATTATCTAACCATCTCATTGGTAATAGTAATAGTATGTAATATATGCTGAGTATAAATGAGAAAACTGCATAACTAGCAAACATATCTGATTGAAGCATTTAGTCAGCACAGTTTATTCGCGTATACTGCATGTATGAGATAGCTAAGCCCATTATAGGAAATAAACAATTTGAACAGATATATATTTATTAGTTCTCTTGTAATTCATGTAGCATGTATTCCCAATCAGTATTAAATATAGGATACAAAACATAGGAATTTAAAAGAAGCATATTTCCTTTGATCATGTTTGATAATAAAATTATTTTATATATCATTATTTTTGTATGTTTTCCAAATAAGTACTAAATCTAACATCCTGGACATGAATAAAAATGTAATTGAAATTTCAATTGTATCCAATAAGTTGCAATCAAATTTTTTGTAGAGAAATGAGAGAGAATTAAAATATGTGTACTTTCTGCCTTTTAAAAATGGTTTCAATTTCATCAAATAACCATATTTTTAATGATTCTTGATCTGAATTTAAGGAGGGATCGAATAATGCTAAATGAAATTCAAATTTTGTATAAAATGGATATATACTTTTCAATGTAAACTCTACATTCTGACTATTATAAGCTACATGTAGATGCGGGGTTGTATAAAGTGAAGATATATATTGAAATATAACATCATGACAAGATTATCATTGTGGAAAATGTTATTTGTTTTTAAATGTATGACCAGATCATGAAGTTTAAAATCCCTCACATTCCATAAATACGACACAACAAGTGAACACAGAAACATTTTTTTTCTTTTGCTATCTTACCCTGAGAGGTACTTTAGGATCTGAGCCCTCTACGTCCACGTTGCTGTTGCCGTTGACAACCATGCCACCGTTGAGTGGTGAGTACTGGTACGGGGTGTTGAGCACGGGTCCGTTGGTGGCGCCCTTCAAAAGTTCATTATCTTTTTCATCAGCACCCCTAAAGTCACAAAGAGCGGATTGACGCAAATCAATGAGTGTAAATATTATTTGTAAGTGGCTAATTCATGTGCATGTAAATATAATGTCAAGATATTCAAATTATATAATCAGGGAAAAAAATACAATGAAATTTGGAGGAGATCATTCATTTTTTCCTAGTACCAGAAAGAAGGAAATACAACTAATGCACCAAACATTTTTGATTGCTTTTAGATTGTGAAAATGAGCATGCATAGATTGAAACCTTTGGGTTTTATACAAAAATCTCACACCACACAAACCCTTGGATATCACAGAAAATAAAAACCAAAGCAAAGGAATAAACAAAATACATGAACGGACAGATCTTGCTGCCACCTTTCAGAACTGAATATATAAACTGTAAAAGGACGGTAAACAAAAATGTGCATAATACTGCAACTACAAGTATGTTTACAACACAGCAATGCAAACTAGCACCTAATTGACAAATGCCTGAGTTGCTCTGAGGTAGACTACTTCTGACGCATATAAAAAATAAGTTGATCGTTTGTGCTTTACAAATGTTGTTTTTGTATCTGCATCAAGAATTATGAACAGGGTATAAAATCATTTATATGAGCACAGGATAGCCTGAGAGTCACCAGATAGTGTGTTTACGGAAATCAAAATAAACACTGCCCTCTATTGACAAAGTCGATGCCGATACATGTAAAACATCCCCTACCACATCGATGTATTATTTGACAAACTGGAATATTCTTTTACTCTTTATCCCTGTCTCGTTTTAAGACCCACATTTATCTCTAGGGATATCAACGATGTATATTTAAGTGTGTATCACTCCTTTCAAAAATGAAGAAAAAAAATTGTTACAGAACTGGAAAGCATACATGTATTACATGTACATGTATATCCAAGTATTGACAAGCGAGAGAATTTTTTCATTTAGGTAATAAATAATGATAAACTTTTATTTTCAATCAAACATAAACAATCTATACATTTCATAACAATGAAAAAGGATAAATATTTTGATAAAATATTCTGTATAAAAAATAGGACTTCGTACTCTTGTACTATGAAATGTTTCATCGATCAATTATTCTTCAAAGACCCACGGTTGTAAGAACATTGTGTGATCTTGAGTCCAGTGTAAATATCTTCTGTTTTTTTGGTTTATTGAAGCTGCAAATATATTGGATTCTAAATATCATGGTTGATCAAATTCTGCCGAAACCGAAGATTTTGAATTTAGATTTTAGGTATTAAATGAAGAGAATTTAATATGATTCTCACAAAGTGAGAACTGGCAACAAAATATATTCTTGGAAAAGCTTGAATTTAAGCAAAAATCTATAAGTATTTGATTTAAAGTGTTAACGTAGTAGCAATGTCTGCTTTTTTCACCCCAAAATTAAGATTTTTCTTAAGAATATTCTAAAACTAAGATTAGCTCAGTTGTTATTAGTTTGTTACAAGTTTGCAGGAAATACCCAATTTAGCATTAATTCTGCAGCCATTAGTGCAAGAGTCTAAGGCATGTTATGAAGAGATAATTTCATTTTATAAGCCTTCTTAAGCCCAATCTGTTGTTCCAACAATTTTGTAGTTTCCAATAAATCCTCGAATATGGGTTGACTACTTCAAATGTACATTATCAAGAACTCTAAAGGTTTTACATAAAATCTTGTTATATTTGACATTCAGTTATTCCCTTTAACGTATAAATATTTCATTTTATACGGCTGAACGCTATGAGAAAGTTTTGATGATATAATATTGAATTAAAAAAAGTTTTGAAGTATAACTATGGTATGTTTGATGGATTCGTAGAGTAATACACTTTCAAAGGAGATCTGTTTATTGTTTGAAATTTGGTTGAAAACTTCTTCAAATACATATTTTCATGAATATTAAACCCTAAAAATGAATTTTGTTTGGACCACCGACTGCAGCTGCATTTTAAATGCTTGCTCATTCGCTGATTATCTGTGGCCATACCAGCCAATTCCAGCACTATATCAACTTTGTCAATAGAGGGCTTCAGAGGAAAAGAAGACTTACACATTCCGCATGCTAGAGAACTGTTTGCTGACTCTGTGCTCCACGCGGAGCGGAGCGTCGCTGGAGGGAGGGGGCAGAGAATTGTGGCGTCTGGGGGGTCGTGAGGGAGGGGGAAGGGGTGTTCCATCAAGGTTTGTGGGGTAAAGAGGAGAGGGTCCATTAAGGGTAGGGGAAAGGGGGAGGGGGTGTAAGAGGAAATCATATGGAAAGGGTATGGTGGAGGTGAAGAATGAGGGCAAAGAGAAAGAGATAAAATACAGATCCAAAGTCTAACAGTTACTATTAAGTTAAGCATAATTTGTCACAGATTATCATTTGGCTGTATTGATTTATCAAAAAGTGACATAAATCCACCTTGATACCATTTAAATGTGGACTTAATTTATCATAGTCTTCATTCATTTATCCCTGATTAAAAAATCAAACTATAGTGAAATATTGAAAAATATTTGGTGATTGTTTTGGTTACTTCTCAAAAACAATCTTTATCCAATTTCCATTTCAAAATACGAAGAAAGAAACACGATGCGCAATTTTCATGAGTCAAGAATCAACTTGCTGTTAGTCATGAACGCTGAATAACAAATGGGTATTTTGGCCACCCACCAAAGGACTTTGTTAATATCAACGTGAAACTGATGAATGTTAGTGCTTCCATCTCAGGTTTGGAAGATAAAGAAATGAAAAGCTAAGCAGGCATGAAATAAGAAGAATGTGGAAATACTGAGTTGGAATGTAGTTCAGCATTTAGTTGGGAATATTTTAAAAACTAAAAAAGATTAAGATTGAAGAATTTGGTTAAAATTAGAGATTTAAAAAAAAATGGAAATAAATAATAATTTCAATTGAAAATTAAAAAGATTAAAAAATTAAAGAAATTAATTAAATTAACAAACTAAAAACAAATTTAATTAAAAAAATGCAATGTTATTGTTGTTGGTCTTAATGGATATTCGTAGGGATGTCATTTATCATGAAGTAAGATAAATAACATAATGAGAAGAAAAATATTGTAAGAAGTTGATGGGCATAAATGAAGAGGAGAAGAAGAGGGGGCAGGCAGAAATCGAATGAGTGGGGTGGAGATGGGGCCTCATGATGTTAGAAATTATATGGGACAAGCATTGCACCAGGCATGTGGATGCGCAGGGGGGTGGGGGGCAGCAAGGGGGAACGGATCATGATGGATCGCAGCCAAAATGACAAGAGCTCATGCCATGGACCTTGTATTTACCATGCAAATAATCAAGCCCTCGCAATGTTAACCATATATTATGTTCTCCCATGGTAATTGCGTTTGGCTTCATATAACACAGATCGATCAGTACCCCTTGCCATATAATCAAGTTTCATAGTTATGCACTCCCATGTGTGCTACCCCAATGAGCAATGTTATTGAAACTTGAAATGGTCGCATACTTAACCACCATACTGATTAAAGAAACTGTATGGGTAACTGGTTTAAAAAACATCCCCTCTACTGAAAATGTTCTATTCTGAATTTCTGATCTGACGAATATTTCCTTATTACAAAAGCTTCAGGTACATCTGACAAGATGACTATATTTTCCAAAGCCAAAGGTTTTATATGTAATAAGAAACCTCCCACCACCCCTTTAAAATTGGTATGCTATAGCTGAACCAAGCGTGAACCCAAGCCAGGTGAAACATATTATATAAGAGATATTCATGCATGTCACAGACATTACGAGCCACCCCTTTTGTTTCCACTAGTCGACTGACATCATACAGATAACAGTAACCGCTAACAAAATAAAAAAATCATGTATGAACAGCAAAATTCCTAATTTACGTTAGTTTACAACCAAACTAACCCTAATATTTTCCATGTTCCTTCTAAAATAATTCCAACATTCTACAATATGAAGTTTCTGTATCAAAATACAAAACATTGCAACTGCTTTTAGACATGCTCATGCAAAAACAGATTGTGTGAACAAAACAACCAACAAATCAACATGCTACCACAATAATACATAAATAAAATGCAAAAAAATGTGCTAAAAGCAAGCATTAATACAGACAAAATAATAAATCAGCTGTAAGCAGTGGAACCATGCAACAAAGATACCAGGTGCAATATTTTGGATGAATCAAAAACACTTACAAATTACACAAATTCATGCAACATACAACATAAAAAAATGACTTCATCTCATTACACATGCAAATTGGTCCCCAAAACGAGCATGAAGGGGATTGCAAATAATCTTTTTCACTTCCCCTAACAACAAATATTAATATTGACTTCCAAAAACATGATGGCATTGGTTAAATACCCAAAATAAAATAAATATGAAACTAATAATAAACTAAACTTTTAAAAATATTTCAACTGATCGTAATAATATTCAATATTTATCAACACTTTATTGAACTATCTGACAAAAATGGGCAGGAGTGTTGAAGCCCCAGTTATAAAAGAAATGGTAAATAACTCGTAACTTTGTAAATAAATAAATTAAGTGTTCCTTGAATACCTTTCTAATCTTCCTCTCAATCTAAACGATGAAAATATGTAATATATGCAGCTGGTTACATAATGCAAGTCACCCACTGTGATAAGGTGCCTTACCAGAAAGGAAAATGAACAAGCATCCCCGTCTTAGCATGCCAAAGTAGCAAAAAACCCTGAATTATCATCTTATATAATGACTCCCAAGAACACAAAGAGCATTTACTCACTTTAAAGGAATACAAATATTGCTATATTCTAACAAATGTCCTAGTACTCACTGTAATTATCGCTAGCATATGTATCATAGGTTATCTGGATGTTTAGACCTATATTTATATGATAAAATGGGGCTCAAATTTGGCACAATCTATCAAACTTATGTATTCATTCATATCATTAAATAATTAAAGCTTCTAAACAATTTTTCTTTTGGAATTGTACAAATCTATTGATTTCTCTACACTATAAATATATTTTCTAAATTCATTTCTGTATTTCTCTACCACTTCCTCTACACAGCTTCCACTTACCTGAAGTTGCCCTCCTCATCAAAGTCCACGTCCAAATTCTGCGGTGTCTGTAGTAGTTTGTATTTATTGTCTGCCACTTTTTCTGTTTGAGTGCTAGGCATTCTGTTCTTCTCGTCCATCATAGCCTGTAATCAAATAAAAAATAAAAATGTATATATATATATATATATATATATATATATATATATATATATCAAGATATGAATATATTTGTCTAATTATCCCTTGATATCCATGCTCTGTCTTCATGAAGAAGAATGAGAAGGAAAAGGAGGAGGAGAAGGAGAAAAAGGAGAAAAAAGAAGAGGAAGAAGAAGAAGATGCTGTTGATGCTGTTGATGATGATGATGGTGATTGCAATGTTGATGATGGCGATGAGGGTGATGATGATGATGATAATGATGATGATGTTGATGATGTTGATGTTGATGTCGATGATGTTGTTGTTGATGATAGTGCAGATGATGATGATGTTGTTGATGATACTGCAGATGATAATGATGCTAATGATGATGATGTTGATGATGTTGATGTTGATGTTGATGTTGATGATGATGATGATGATGATGATGATGATGTTGTTCATGATGATGAGGGTGATGATGATGATAATGGTGATGATGTTGATGATGATGTTGATGATGATGTTGATGATGATGTTGATGATGATGTTGTTGATGATAGTGCAGATGATGATGATGTTGTTGATGATGATAACGGTTGGTAATAATGATGACAATGATGATGACGATGAAGATGATTGCTTCCCGTATAGCTGGGCCCTACAGACTATGGCAACAGTTCTTCCATTATCCTGAACTACAACAGCCAAATCACTTGACATAATCATCATCTCAACCACCCTAAATAATTCATCTAAACACACATAAGAACAATAACATACCACATAGCTAAGCCCTTACAAATATATATTCATCACCTTCACAATTCCACCACATCTGAACACACACACACATGGTCGAGTGGTTAAGTCGCCGGACTGTCGATCACAAGGTCCGCGGTTCGAGACCCGCCGCGGCACTAATGTCCTTTGGCAAAGACACTGATCTACATTTGCCACACTCAACCCAGGTGATGTAAATGGGTACCTGGCAGGAATTATTTCTTTGAAATGCTAGAGCGCCGTAATGGCAACACAGCTAAAGCCTGGGTAATAATCTCCAAGTTTGGAAGCGCTTAGTGATTGTAATAAGCGCTATATAAAAACTGAGTATTATTTGTTATTATGAAAAACAAACATACCTTGATGGGGTTCATTTTCATATGTTCAACCGGCAGCTGGGCTCTGACGACTGGCTTCTGCTGTTGGTTGTTCTGTTGCTGTAGCATGGAAGCTGATACCGTGGCTCTGGAGGCGGTGTTCGGCTGAATGTGACAGATGTCCGTCTCAAGTCCCTTCAACTTGGCTTGTGCACGATCCGCGTCATCTGAACAAATACAAGAGTGATATATTAGATTTATGTACTTTTACTTTGCATACTGTTCAAATTCATGATATACAATCAAAACTTCTTTAAACAGGTCACCTACGCCACATGTAGACAGGCATCACCAATAACCCAACATTTGCTCCCGCAACATTTTGTTAATTTCATTGCCTGGTTTAGAAGCTTCTGAGTATTCTGCAAGGACTTATTTTCCATCATGACCAGAACTTAATTTTAGATCGTCAAGAAATGATACTTAGTGTTTGTCCTGAAATATCCTGGGGAGGGGAGTACTCATATATCAAGACATACAGGGGTGTGCTGCTCTAATGAGTCAATTTTCCACAAAAATCCCTAAACATAGGTCCCATTTTTAACAAAAATATCCCTAAACATGGGTCCATTTTTTTCCAAAATTGTGAAAAATGGGCTTTACTTCAAGAAAAATCCCCCTAAAAGACCCTTCAAAATGGGTAGGGGTTTTGAGGCTTCAGCGGCACACCCCCGTCCAAACCAAATCTAAGTACCCCCCCCCCCCTTGTGAAAATATATAGATGAAGAAGTAATCCATTAAAGTCAAATACTACAACATCAGTTTTCCTCGAAAAGAACTCACTGAGGCTTCCTCCCGCCAGGTTATAATCTTTTTCATCGAACGATTTCGAAAGTGAAAATGTGAGTCCCGTCCCGCCGATCACCGCCGGCTTCTCCGTCCTTCCAACAATGACCTCCGCTGTCGCTCCCGTGTCGATGTTCGTCTCTGTCAGCGCCCCCGGGACGGTGGGGGGCACGGGTGGTGGCTTGCGCTCGACCGGCAGTGTGACGGTGGGTGAGTGGACCGTGGCATTGGCAGCCATCCTTGCGGGAGGGTGGGGAGGGACACGGGGTGATGTCTTGATTGCGGTACGCTGGTGAGGAGAGGTAGCTGAAGCGCTGGAATGTTAAATAGAGAAGGGTAGATTTTGTTAGAATCGCAAGAATGAAGACTGTCATATTTTCCTCATCTATCCTGCTTTTAAAATTCAAACTTGAAGAAGAAAAAAACAGAAATTAAGCATATGATACCACATGTAATAATACTCTTACAAATCCCTTTTTTAAGACAAGTATTCCACAACTTGTGATTTGGCTCAGTAACACTTGTCCTCCAAAAATATACCAGATTCATGAAAAGAAAGCACAAACTTCCTACACACATTGTATCCATTTTCAATCTATGACCACATTGATTTTGAAAGTTTGAAATGTACATGTGTACATTTCAAAATGTACAAGTGTATCGGAATAAATAAAGTTGTCCGGCACTACACCGTAGTGACATTACCCATTTAGCAGATTTGATATTCTCATACATATAGTGAATACAAGTTTAAAAAATTCATAGCTTTTTTATTTTTTGTCTGATCCTCTAAATTCTGATTTGTCTGCTTTCTTTCAGAGTTGATTGCTCTTGATGTTGGATTACCCTTTAATTATTAAACTGCTTGAGAGGAATGAAAATAGCAACATACCCTCCAGGTGATGGTATTGTCTGTCCAGCACGAAATCTGTTTGCCATCTCAGCAGCTAAATAAAGAAGAAAAAACAGGAGAGTTAAATTCATGAATGTTCACTATAAAATAATGACAAAACATAAAAAGCAGTCATTTCACCATTATTTTTGCATTAAGAGTTGTCTGTCATGGTGCACACATACAATAAGGTGTTAGAGTTACACATAGAAATATTGAGGAAACTTACTGTTAAGGCTAGTTCAGATATGACGTGGTCAATAGCCGCAACAAAAAATCAAAAAAAATGTTGCAGGTTTTTTACAAGTAAATGAATTGTAACTGCTTACAACAATCGTAATATGCATGTTCACTTAACTCTGTTTTATAAAACATAAACATGTGAAGCTTTTAACTAAACGTCAATAAAAACCTGCCATCGTTTATTTCTGCATATCTGAACGTAGCTTTACATTAGGTTTACATTGTACATGAAATAGATAGTGTTACAACAACCCTCGCTAAACACAAGTAAACTGATAAAATGAACCTACGAGCAAAAAGTGGCAAAAAAGGTGAGCCCAACATGCCCAAGATGGATCTAGCTAAGCCAGATGCGGCCCGAAACTACTCCGATCCCGTAGAGTCAAGTGATCTAATGCCCGACATAGCAGCAACTCATTGTCACACGTCACCTATTGTGTCAGGCACTTGCTTGCAAGCACCAACCAGCAAGACTAAATCCACCGCAGACGTGAATTCAATTTTACAGTCGATATCGTCAGCAGTTAAGCTAGCGGTGGGTGAAACGAATGATAAGATAAATAAGAAGCTAGAAAAAGGCCCCAGGACCAAGAACTCGAACAAGATATGGAGACCGTGCCTTCAGCGTAGCTCCTCTGAGACTTGGAACAGGCTTCCTCTTGAGTTGCGGATTGCTCCTTCAATGGACTCATTTAAATCCTCCCTGAAAACATTCCTTTTTAACTCTCCCTGTTAGTCTGTAGCTTTTAATGTCATACTCTTGTTATTCACGGTACATGTATTGTAATTGCCTTAATTGGAATTTATAATGTTTTGGGCCAAAAATTAATTGTATTCTATTGTATGTTAATGTATTGACTACATGTATATGTGCTCATGTATTTTGAACTAATGTAGGTTGATAAGTAAAAATTAATTATAGGTTGTAAATAGGATATTGAATGTACTATTATCTGAGAATCGCCATTTTGTGTAAAGCGCTTAGAAACATATTGTATTAAGCGCTCTAGAAGTACAATGCATTATTATTATTATTAAGCAACATCAGTGATATAGAAACATTCTTGCAACTACCAAAGTGAAACTTGCAGACCCGGAGACTGCCATGAATAACACAACACACAGAGTGTTGGACAAATTGAGGATAAAGCGATCCCGAAGATTATAGTTGAGTATCGCAAGCTGGTCCAGGGGGGTGTTTCATAAAGCTGTTCGTAAGTTACGCACGACTTTACGCACGAATGGTGATATGTTCTTGTGCTACATGTAAATGATTGAGAATCTGATTAGCACCCAAGAACATGTTCCAGTCGTGCGTAAATTCGTGCGTAACTTACGAACAGCTTTATGAAACACCCCCAGGACTTAGAAGAAAACCTGACCCTCCAAGAGATCCACGACATAAGCTCAACCTACTGATATACGGAGCAAAGCAAGCCTGGAGGTAAACGCATGTACACAGTAGCTGCCTCGATCTTCTCTGGCCTTCTAGGCATACAAGAGGAGAAAACCGCGCAGATTCCACTCGCAAATGCTCAGAGATTGCCTCTCCTGAGTCATCAGAAACCAGACGACAGAAGACCCAACTAGACAATTTTTACAACGGCAACTACAGTTAGGCCAGAGAGGGCAGCACCAGCCGTGGGCATATTTGGCAAAGGCACTTCCGTTTCCCATACAAAATTGCTTTTGATGATTAACTTACTCTGTTCACATTGATGTGTATTTCATATGTATTGTAATTTGTAGGTATATTTGCACTTTTTTGTTTTGTTTAATATGTAATTGTTTATCAGTCTATTTTGTTTGTTATAGCGCTTAGAGACTTCGGTGGTAAGCGCTTTATAACTTAAGTAAAAATTTTTTCAATTATTATTATTATTTTTACAATGGGTAAAGAACTGGAAAGTCTGGTAGATTTATTACTATAAGTAACAGATTATGATAGGGCCAACATAGATCTCGTCAAATCACCGGGGAGATCATGACCCCTGAACCTCAGTTTAGTAGAATAAGGAATAAGTAAACACTGCAGTACATTCTCTTTGAGAGCTGGAAGAAACCTTGTCTTCTCGTCTTCCCCAGTATAGTATCTGCACATGTGCTGACCTGCGTAGTGTTGGAGAAAGGTCACCATCTATGGTCGAACATCTTTTCGGTAAGGTCGATATCAATTAATGATGTATTATAAATATACAATGGTATACACAGTCAAAAGTGTTTCATTCTGTGATTTATCATCAGAAGACTAATTTTTTTTTCTTAAAGACGTTTCTTTACCTTTCTTCTTTGCATACGAGGGTCTTCTTGAGAACCTCTGGCTCGGCCTCCTCTCAAACTGCATGGAGCGTCGCGACCGGTTAGTTTTTGCCGTCTGGAATTCTGTCCTTCCACTTTGAATTACATGGAAAACAAAGAGAAAGGAATCAAATTAAAAATTACTTTCTATCTCTTTTGCTTTCCTGCCTGCTGGTTCTGTATATACCAGAAAAAGGGTCTAATAAACTCACAACTCATTTGAATCCTAACTGCCCAGTTTCTGCTCAGATGGGGTCATGGCAAAGTATATTTCAGAGTTCCCTAGACTTATCTTTAGGTGTGAAAGGGTGATCGATGAGTGCTACTGCATATACTCGAGCAATAATAGCTCATAGCTATATTTTGTCACAGATACAGTCATCAAATAGGGTTCCAGTTAGGGTTGCATTAGAGTGTTGGATTCGGTTTAAGGGTCAAATAAATAAAATAGGGTAAGGGTTATGTATAAAGTTAGGTCAAAGGTTGAATTAAGGAGGTCAAAGAGTGGGGGATTTTATGCAGAGCAATTAACCGGTTTACTAACCAACTAAATTATATGCATACTTTTTAAACAATGGTCGTTTTTGACAATCTGAAATCATGTCCGAGGCTTGTCTGACATAGCAGCAAGTACTGTATGCAGAGTGGATTCGAAATGTAGTTTACTCATTAATAACAGGTTGATGGAATAACTACGTCCCCAGGAAAGAAATTTAAATATGTAAGTAAACTGGTCTATTGTCACCAGAGTACATGTTGTAGAACCACAGGGGCAAAGTAAACATAGATCAGAGTTAGAGAGACGTATATCTTTAGGGGAGGGGGTCAAATGTCCTGTAAAAAGCACTGACCTGTATCTGAACCTTGACCCCATGCGGATGAACCCTTGCCTCCCTTGCTGCTGCTTGACCGGACCTCGTAATCTGAAGAAGGCGTGATGCTCCACGGCGCACTTCCACAGGTGCTTGCAGGCCTGGGATGATTCTAACCGGAATACAAATGTGTGCTGCTGCTCGTTGCCCTGGTAACGGAAGAGAAGATTGGTGGATTGTGAATCATGTGACAAGAAATAAATATAGTCCCCCACCAGCCTTCTGTAAAAGAGCTAACTATTTAACCCAACAAATATTGGAACGATCGAACACCGAAGGTTCTCTGGGGTTTTTCCGGTTGTGTAAATGGCAGTAAAAAAAAAAATTAAAAAAATAATAATTTCAAAATGGTGTTTGGGCTGTGTAAATGGGCATACCAGTAGTTTCAATGTTATAACAGCCGTAATTCTCATCATCATTGTGTACTTCCTCCACCATTTAGAGGTGTCGTGGTCGAGTGAATATGTCTCCAGACTGCAGATCGCAATATCCGCGGTTTGAGTCCCGCCGCAGCACTAATGTCCTTTGGCAAGACATTGATCTACATTTGCCTCTCTTAACCCAGGTGTTATATAAGTACCAGGTAGGATGCGAAAGCTAATGTGGTTAGATGAGCAAGTGTGTGCGCTTGTAAAAATGACGCCTGGCTGGAATGCTCCCCAGGGAGTGGAGAATGTGCACACATCATGTGCGGGTAAGCCTGGGGTAATAATATACAGTCAAACCTGTTTTTAGTGACCGCCCAAGGGAAACACAAAAAGTGGTCTTTATAGACAGGTGGTCTTTGACAGGTTCCTTTATTACATGTTTCAATGAGAAACTATTTTCAAGGGAAACTAAACATGTGGTCCTTGGAGACAGGTGGTCTTTATAGACAGGTCATCACTAAAGCAGGTTTGACTGTATCTGTAAAGTGCTTTGAGAGAACAAATTATTATTATTATTATTATTATTATTATCATTTATCACCAGCTACTTCAAGAGCTCACCTGCTCATCGTCCTCCACCACCACCAGATGGAGCTTCTTAGATTTGAAGTCCAGACGGGTCACTTTGGGCCAGAAGAAGAGGCCTATCTTGGTTTCCCCCTCATAGACCAGGATCCCTGTCGGAGTTAGACCGAGATGGTAGTCCTGTGCGTCTCGGCCCTAAGGGAACAATCAAATGACGAGGGTGATAAAAGAGAATTTAAAATGTGGAATATGGTACCATACATGAATTTACAACTCTATACTATTCTATAATGAACACAACTATGCCTGAAATATACTCATTTTGCATAAAACTACTACATTTGCCACTCTCTACCCAGGGAAGAAATGGGGACCTGGTAGGATGACAAAAGCCGTTGTGGTATAAATGCTATATGCCCTACTGTGACCATATGGTAGGAATACTTCTCAGGGAGTGGAGACGGTGCACACTGTGTGTGACTGAATCCGATGACCGGGTAATGACATCTGGTGATGCTCAGTGGCTCAGTGGCTGACGGGCTCATGATCAATTGGGCAAAAAGAATTTCCATTTTCGGTTTAACTTAATAAAATTTGGAGTGGACTTTAAAATATTTATTATTATTATTATTATTAGAGATGGTATTTCGTATTAAACGCTATATAAATCTAGATTATTATTATCGACATCCTTAGTCCCATATACTTAAAAAAAAATGTATCCTTTCCATTTACCTGTACTACGTGTAGATCAACACCGTACATCTCTAGCCATTTAGCTTTGTTCAAGTAGTTCAGCTCTGCCTGGGCCGGGTTCAATCCACTGTAGGTACAGGAAGAAAAAAAAGAGGAGAAAGAAAAATAGAGGTTAGAAATGTGAAATGTGAATAAACACCAGATGAGGCACTGAAAATTGGTATTCAATGGTACCAAAAGGTTATCTAACAGATGCAAAATCAAAACAATCGACTATTAGAGAATTTAATTTCAATGTAGCATTTGCTATTTTGGCAAGTCGGAGCTCTATTGACTCACATAAAGGAATGTTAACAATAACATCTAAGATTTCAGTATATCCGATGACTCAATCCAACTTCAAATCCTACTAGAACTCGGCTCTAGTATTATATTTCATCATAATAACTTATATTTTGCGTCAATTCATGATCATAATTCCATATTATACAATACAATAATACTTGGTAACGTACACATATGGGACATGCATTGAGCCTTGACCTAGCCCATTTCAGGTGTAACTTCAACAAAAAACGGCCTTGGAAGGTCCATGACTGCATTTTGACAGATCAAATTGATTTTTCTACCGAACTGCCAAGAAACATAGGCAAGAAGATCAAACACCGACATCCGCTGATTGTATTGACATAGCCGACATTGCAATCAACTGTGCGGTGTTCTCTACGAATTGTAAATACTCCGGACCACAATGCAAATATTTTTGTGCAAGGTTTCAAAGGTCTGCAAAAATTACAGCCCTGCAACGATATGAGTAATTTACTTTAATTGTAGAGAGCCAGAAGGGCATTCTCCCTGTTTAAAATGATTCAAGTTTAAAATTATTGTAGCTGGCAGCAAAAATCTGAGAAATAATGTATTTTGATAAGATTGTCAAGGAAGGCCATTAATATATGACCTTCATGAAAAGGTGCACCTGTAGACACTAGACAAATTGTCAAAAGCCATAAACTGTAATCAAGTACAAAAGTGCAGATTTTATGCAGTGTTAAATTCTATTGCAGTTATAAATTTCTTCTTTTTTTAACACTGAATCAGACACAATTTATTTCTATTTGTTTTGTAAATTTAAGCATGTTTATGAAGGTAAAAATATACATCTCCATTTTTTTTTTTTTGAGAGAGAAAAATATATACTACAGTCAAACCTGCTTTAGTGACCACCTGTCTACGAAGACCACCTTTCTACAAAGACCACTTTTTCCTTTGAAAATGGTTTCTCATTGAAACATGTAGTAAAGGAACTTGTCTACAAAGACCACTTTTTGTGTTTTCCTTGGGCGGTCGCTATAGACGGGGTTAACTGTAATTTCACCTTGTTATTAATAACATTTTTATTGAATTTTTAATCAAAGCTCACAATTCCCTTTAAGCCTATACGTCACATTAAACATATGAACTCCAGTGTTTATGAGACCCATATCTAGCATGTGTTTGAGGTTGTTATTATCATATGGTCTGTATTTATTTGACCCTACATGTATGTCCTGTAGCCATACCATGCTGAGTTCGGTCAGCCCCCACCAAATGATTTTTTTTTCCTCTCCGTACCAGCCACATCCTTCAGTCACTATTAATTTTCTCACCCTAGTCCCAATATAGGTCATTCCATGTCAAAATCTATTTCTATGCTACATGTATGAGTCTCTGGAGCAAGGTTTTAGGTAAGCCTACAGAGGCCCAACATTTTACCCTGCAATGATTGCTCCAGCCTCTGTTTCAACAAAGATAATAGGGTTAAGGATTGCAATTGGGTTTTAGGTTATGTTTAGGATTTAGGGATAATATGTTTAGTAATAATAATATACTATTCTGGGTAACTAAATCTCGGTTTGTATAGGGTGCGTTCAATCGAATTTTCGAAGCTAGAATCACAAACATGAATCACAATTCAAAACGCCGTTACAAAAAGCAAGGTCACTGCGGTTTGCGTTCAAGCGATTTTTCATCAACGCTGATTCTAGCTCATTGCGAGCCAAACCACTGCGCATCACACTGCGCAGTATGGCCCAGGAACTTCGGCGCGCGCTTTCTGGAATTGTTTACGGCCGACTGTAGACTGCTGTTTTGAGCATAGATCGCAATAATAAGACAAAGAATGAGAAGGTGATAGAAGGAAGAAACAAAGAATAACATAAGGAAAGACAGAAAGATAAAGTCGATAGAATAATTAAAACAAAGAATAACATAAGAGAAGGTGAAAAAAGGAAGAATCAAAGAATAACACAAGGAAAGATAGAAAGAGAAAGTAACAGAATGATTAAAACAAAGAATAACATAAGAGAAAGTGATAGAATTATAAAAACAAAGAATAACATAAGAGAAGATGATAGAAGGAAGAAACAAAGAATAACATAAGGAAAGACAGAAAGAGAAATTGATAGAATGCTTAAAACAAAGAATTACATAAGAAAAGGTGATAGAAGGAAAAAACAAAGAATAACATAAGTATAGAAGGAAGAAACAAAGAATAACATAAGGAAAGACAGAAAGAGCAAATGATAGAATGCTTAACACAAAGAATAACATAAGAAAAGGTGATAGAAGGAAAAAACAAAGAATAACATAAGTATAGAAGGAAGAAACAAAGAATAACATAAGGAAAGACAGAAAGAGCAAATGATAGAATGCTTAACACAAAGAATAACATAAGAAAAGGTGATAGAAGGAAAAAAAACAAAGAATAACATAAGAATAGAAGGAAGAAACAAAGAATAACATAAGGAAAGACAGAAAGAGAAAATGATAGAATGATAAAAACAAAGAATTACATAAGAAAAGGTGATAGAAGGAAGAAACAAAGAATAACATAAGGAAAGACAGAAAGAGCAAATGATAGAATGCTTAAAACAAAGAATTACATAAGAAAAGGTGATAGAAGGAAAAAACAAAGAATAACATAAGTATAGAAGGAAGAAACAAAGAATAACATAAGGAAAGACAGAAAGAACAAATGATAGAATGATAAAAACAAAGAATAACATAAGAAAAGGTGATAGAAGGAAAAAAAACAAGGAATAACATAAGAATAGAAGGAAGAAACAAAGAATAACATAAGGAAAGACAGAAAGAGAAAATGATAGAATGATAAAAACAAAGAATTACATAAGAAAAGGTGATAGAAGGAAAAAACAAAGAATAACATAAGTATAGAAGGAAGAAACAAAGAATAACATAAGGAAAGACAGAAAGAGCAAATGATAGAATGATAAAAACAAAGAATTACATAAGAAAAGGTGATAGAAGGAAAAAACAAAGAATAACATAAGTATAGAAGGAAGAAACAAAGAATAACATAAGGAAAGACAGAAAGAGCAAATGATAGAATGATAAAAACAAAGAATAACATAAGAAAAGGTGATAGAAGGAAAAAAAACAAAGAATAACATAAGAATAGAAGGAAGAAACAAAGAATAACATAAGGAAAGACAGAAAGACAAAATGATAGAAGGAAAAACAATGAATAACATAACGGAACAGGCCACGATGGTATAGTGAACGCAAATTGCATGCAAAGCGGGCGCGCGGTTTTTCCCAAACCGGAAGAGGCTTCGTCATACAATCATGATTGAGAACTCCGTCCGTTCAATCGAATTTTAGCGACCGTGATTCTTTTGAATCATGATACAAAACGCATCTTTTTCAGCGTTTCATGTTTGTGTTTTCAAACACGTTTATTTTTACGACCGACGAAAAAATCGCTTGAACGCATTGCGTTTTAAACTAAACGTCTTTAGAAACCGTGATTCTAGGGTGAAAAAGTGTCGATTAAACGCACCCATAGAGCGCTTAAAGATAAAGATCAGTTCTGGTCATGCGATTGCATTGTGAAAGAAACGTTGTGGAATCGATCAGAAAAGGTTGATCATCTAGCATATATAAGTATTGGTGTGTACTGCAAGGTTCTGGAATCATCAAATGATAAGAAATTTGGCCCAGTCTTGGTAAAGTTACAAGCACTGTCTACAGAAGATGACTATGCGACACGTGCGCGATATCTATCAGGTCCAAATAGATATACTAATTTACCAAATATATCAATACGTAGGTGGCTTCTCGGCAAAATTTGTATCATCACGTATTAGTCAAAACATATTCTTTCACATGCGCTTCCATTTCATTTTTTGAGAGGGGAGCGTTTCCAAAACTGGTCTTTACCTTTAATACATCAATGATGTCTACAAAATTTTTCAATGACCTATTCAGACATGTAGTTTGAAACATACAGTTGTAGTTCACCCGATGGTTGATTTGTGTGAACACAATGCTACTGCCAATGAGCCTATTGATCTCCGAGACCTTTCCCATCTGTCAGTAATCTGCTACATTCCTAACCAGAGTGCAATGTCTGATGCAAACATGAAACATATTGTTTGAGGGGAAATACCCCTGCTACAAATCAAAATTGCACAAACAACAATGATGATGATGATGATGATGATGATGATGATGATGATGATGATGATGATGATGATGATGATGATGATGATGATGATGATGATGATGATGATGATGATTTGATGATAGTAATAATTAGGCCTAGTAATAATAGTGATGACACTGACGACAATAATTTTAATGATGATGATGATGGATATGATGATGGACAGATGGAGATGATGATGATGATGATGATGATGGCAATAATAATGACAATAATATATTATTAATATTAATGATAAATTAAAATATTAAAATCAAAACATGATGAAAAAGTTCACATTCATCTAACCCCATGTTCAAGAGTGAGAAAGTGACAGGTAGACAGAGAGAGTGAGAGAGAGAGAGAGAGAGAGAGAGAGGAAGAAAGAGGGAGAGAGAGATAGAGAGAGAGATGAAGAAAGAAAGAGAGGAAGAAAGAAAGAGAGGAAGAAAGAAAGAAAGAGAGAGAGAGAGAGAGAGATGAAATGTGATATTAAGTTTCTATGAAAATCTCATAAGCCAGCAATTTGTAACATCAACAATTACAACATTGTTGTCAAAACTTGTGACTGTTTCTCAATCTAAAATCTATGTTATTGCTTAAGAACCTTAGGGCCTACAAGTATACATGTATCCTTTAAACAT